ATATATAATAGAAAAGCTAAATTACTTGATAAAGTTAAAGTTTTTAGTAGCAAAGATTAGAATTCAGGTCACTAAGCACCTAGCCCAATTGGTCTTTTCACTATACCTTGCTGCTTCTAAAGCAGTTGAAAAGATGTTTGAAAACTGCAACTGACCTTATCATTCTATTATCAGATTAAACCCTTATGCCCCAGGGCATGTCTTGTATGTGAAGAATTGTTCCTCTAGGAATTTAAAGTAGGATTACATTATATGGTATTCTTAGTGAGTAAATAATTATTCAAACAGTTTTCTGTGTATTTGAATGTGAAAGGTAGTATGACTATACTAATGAGACCACGCTAGAACTAACCATTGTGAATACTGGCTCTAGCCTTTAAGGTCTGCAATGGAGATGTTTGGTTTTTTTGAGACAACTTGGCACTATGTAGCTCAGGCTAACCTTGAACTCATTATGTAGCCCCAGCTGCTCTCAAATGCTCCATCCTCCTACCCCAGCCTGTGGAGTGCTGGAATTACAGACATGAGCCACCAGACCTGCTTTTTTTTTTTTTTCCTAGAGATCTCATGGCCTCATGGCCCAGATCCCTCTCTCTGACTTTAATAATTCCCGCCCCTGCCATAACCTTTGCCTCAGCCTCCTGTGGCTCCAAAGGAAGGAGAAGTAAAACAGAAAGCTGGGATGTTGAAGGAATTAAAAGGCCTAGAGGAGGGCTGGAATGATAGTCTGCAATTCTATATAACCACATAGCTCCTGATGATTTACTCTGAGTATAAAAAGGCAGTTGCTTCTGCTTCCTGTATGTATTTCTTTTTGTAGGTATTTCTTGATATAGGCTGATTTAAAGATTACAAATTCCTAAACATTAGGGATAAAAAGTGACTCCTTGGTATGAAGGGGTTAAAAAAAGTCCAATGTGGCACCTTAAACATTCAAAGAATTCAAATAATCAGAATCAGTTATGGGAGCAGGAAGGTAACTTTGTACAGTCAATCCTTTTTTACAGCCAAAGAACCAGATTCCCTACAAGAGTGAAGTGACTGTAGAGAAAGCTCTTGCATTCTCTGCTGGACACTCTTTGCACAACACTTTCATACTTCCCCATTTAGAAAAAGATACATACAGTCATTATTTTACTGCCTACATACACAAGTCTTTATGTATGCATAAAGAATCTATACTAGCAATTCATTCTAGACTTTCCATAGAGAAAAACTTTCAAAGTACTACAGAGATTATTTCCAGATATTTCAGATTGGTCAGCAAAACTTGTTGATCCTTCTTCAGATCTGTGTTTCTTAACTGTTCAGAGTCACAGTGTTTGAGAATCTCACAAAGGTTATGATGAAACTAGCCCCCAATGGGGAGATTGCGTATAAAATGGGTCTTAATGATTTCAAAGTCCCTGAGAGCAGACCCTTTGCACTAAATTAAGCTTGCTCCAGGATTGAACCAAGACAATTAATCTACCTATTAATAGTATTTTTTGCCAGAATCATGATTTGACATTTGGTGCTTTTCCTAAAATGAAGCCAACAAGAAATGTCTTTCATAAACAAGTATTTCTGCCAATAGAAAACATATGCGATGGTATATAATGTGAAGACCAAGCAAAGGTTTTCCTGAATATTCTGGAATGGTCATTTATTAAATAAGGACAACAACTACACACTTGGAGGGAGGGGGGGGCTTTTGTCAAATGTATCAGATTTCTTTCACCTAGATTTTTCTAATATTATTCCACACTCCTTCCCATTTTTGTTTCTTTCCACTACCATATGATTTTTTAAATTTTATTATTTTTATTTTATGTGTATGCGTGTATTGCCTGCAAGTAGGTAAGTGCACCCGTGTTGTACAATGCCCATGAAGGTCAGAAGAGGCTGTCAGATCCCCTGGGACTGGAGTTACAGACAGTTGTTAGCTGCCATGTGGGAGTGGGGATTCGAACCCAGGTCTTCTACAAGAACACCCAGTGTTCTTAACTGCTGAGCCATCTCTCTAGCCCTACCATATGCTTTTAATTGTTTAAATAAACAAATCTGTGATTTAGAAAATTTTTTGTACACATTTATCCCATTCAAAATGAATAACTGAGAATAAGCATGTTCAGAATAATATTGATTAAATTAGTATTGCTCACATTTTATTTATTTAATGTCATTGTTACCTGAGATGCTAGAGATTGAAGCAGGGTCTCATGTATGCTAAGCAAGGAGCTCTACTACTGAACGGTTCCAGTCCTTATATTTCATTTTACTTATTTTACTTTATTTTTATTTCAGGTGTATGACTGTTTTGCTTGCATGTATATATGTGTATCACATGTGTGCCTGATGCCTGCCAGAAGAAAGCATCAGATCCCCTGGAACTGGAGTTAAAGAAGGTTGACTGTTAGCAACCATGTGAGTACTGGTAAGAGTTCTGCAACTCTTGGGGCTGGAGAGATGGCTCAGCGGTTAAGAACACCGACTGTTCTTGCAGAAGACTTGTGTTCAAATCCCAACACCCAAATGGCAACAACTGTCAGTAACTCCAGTTCCAGGGGATCCAATAGCCTCTTCTGTCCTCTGCGAGCACTGCACAACATGGGTGCACTTACCAACATGTAGGCATAACACTTATACACATAAAATAAAAATAATAAATAAAACTAAAACTAAAAAAAACAAGTTCTGCCAACTCTTAACCTGAGCCATCTCTTCAGCGCTAGATCTAAAAATAATAAAAATAAATTATTAACTTTTTTCTTTTTGGAAATAGGATTGCACTCTATAACTCTGGCTGGCCTGGAACTCATTATGTAGACCAAGATGAATACAAGCTCCCTAGTTAGATGAGATTAAAGGCATATACTACCACATCCAGCAAATTATTAACTCTTTTACACTGACTCTCAACTTTTTTCTACTGAGGTATAATCTACATAACATCCTAAAATATCACTTTTGATAGTACATCTTATTTATTTAGACAAGCTCTCACTATGTAGACTAGATTGGACTGGAACACAACAAAGATCCACCTGCTTCTGCTTCCTGAGAACTGAAACTAAAGGTGCGCACCCCCATGCCCAGACTTATTTACGTATTTTTAAAAGATGTAGTTATTTATTTTTTACTTGTATGTTACATGTAGGTATGTGTACTATATACTTGTTTGGTGCCTGCTGAGGCCAAAAAGGGTGTTAAGAGTCCCTGGAACTGGAGTTACAGGGTTGTGAGATACCCTATGTGGGTGCTGGGAATCAAACTTGGGTCCTCTGCAAGGGCAACACATGCTCTTAACTGCTGAGCCATCTCTCCAGTTCCCAGTTCCTAGCACCCACATGGTGGCTAACAATCATCTGTAACTCTAGTTCCAAGGGATCCAATGTTCTCTTCTGGCTTCTGCAGGCACTGCATGCACATGGTACACTTATATACATGCAGGCAAAACACCCATACACATAAAATTAAAAAAACTTAAAAAATGACAAAAACAAAACAATGAAAAAAAACATTACAATTCACCATCAAAAGTTGTTGAGCATTAGAGTAATCTAATTTAAGAAGGTGTAAAACAGCATAAAACATGGTACTGTAATTTATAACTTTAATTTGTGAAAGAAAAACTTGCTCTTGAATACTTTAACTGATACTCAAAAGAAAAGTTTTAGCTCAAACTGAGCCAAATTTAGAAATGAAAATAAGACCTGAAATATATTCAACATGTAGTTAATGCCGTATGGACTGGGTTAAGGGAAGAGCTAGAAGAAATGAAAATATGAGCCTAAATTTACATAAGTAGTAGAACTTTGATTCTCTACAAGTTATTTCAATTAATTTATGAGGGAGGGGGTAAAGTCTTCTTTTAAAAATGCACTTTGAGCTGGGCGTGGTGGCGCATGCCTTTAATCCCAGCACTCAGGAGGCAGA